TGAGATTTATAAGATGTGTACTCTTATAGTTTGAGATTTATAGGATGAGGATTTCCTATGGTTGGACTTGTGTTGTCATGAGTATGCGCTTTGAGGGTTAGAAATAGAAGTTTTATGAGGATTTAAAATTTGTCTATTTCTAAGGATCTGTGAATAGAGTTTTTATGAAGATTTAGAACTTGTCTATTCTGTGAGACTCTAGTGGAAACACTCTGAGTGATTGGGTTGTTTAGAGCTAACCTGATGATTGGTCATGGATGAGATGATATTCCGGAATAGTGGAATGTCATGTTAGAGTTGACCTGAGGATTGGTCATGAATGAGATGATATTCTGGGATGGTGGAATGTCATGTTAGAGTTGACCTGAGGATTGGTCATGGAGGAGGTGATATTCCGGGGTATTGGGATGTCAGGTTGAGACCACATTAGGTAGTTCTAGTCAGAGATGCTTTAGGCGTTAAGAATTGATTTCTCTAGGGAATGAAGATTTTCCCGAACAACTCATTAAGGAATGAAGATTTTTCCGAGTAACTCATTTGGAAATGAGGATTTCTCCAAGAGGGATAAGGATTTCCCTGTGTGTTACTGAGGGATGAGGATTTCTCTTAGTAATACTAAGAGGTGAGTATTTTTCTCGATGGGATGAGGATTTCCCTGGGTGTTACTGAGGGATGAGGATTTCCTTTAGTAATAATAAGAGATGAGTATTACTCTCGAGGGGATGAGGATTTTCCCTGTATACCGCTAGGTCGACAGACTGTATGTCCTGAGAGTGTGAGTGGTATGGTGCACCGATAGCTCAAAGGATGTGATTCTGAGAGTGGAAGTGGTGTGGTTATGAGTTATGAGTTGAGAGCAATTACTGTCTGAAACGTGGCTATGTGCATAGGACTAGATGTAGACCTCAGAGATCGAGAGTGTTGATCTCAGGTGGTGCTGGCCGGGTTGGTCAGGAGTGTTAATCGTAGTGTGACGGTTTTGCATGATTCGAGGGTTGATCTCGAGTGGTGTTGGTCGGGTGGGTCAGGTGGTTGAGACCGTAGTGAATGGTATCGTGAG